ATGCCTCCTCCTCCATTGCTATGGGGGGCATGTTCTAAAGGGCAGTTTTCCCGTAGAGCAGGCTTCCTCAAACTTGGCCCTCCAGATGTTTTGAGACTACAATTCCCACCATCCCTGACCACTGGTCCTGCTAGCTAGGGATCATGGGAGTTGTAGGCCAAAACATCTGGAGGGCTGAGTTTGAGGAAGCCTGCCGTAGAGTAACGGCCAGGCCTGAACTCCACCCACCAGTCAAAATGTGTCGTCGCCCCCGCCGGATGTGGAATCCCTGGATCCAGCCCCCACATGCCCTACATGAATTCACAGCACTCATTGAGACACACCTCAGTTTACTTCCCCTTCTACTGTTCTGGGGAGGAGAAACATCCGTCACAAGTACCAATTTGACAGGAAGAAGTGAAAACGTGTCACCACGGCGGCAGCAGTGGCCCTCTGGCTCAGAGCAGAGCTTGTCCGTCTCCATTTACTATCTTCCTGAGGACCCTGCAGAGCCTTTCTAGGGAGATCGCTATTCCCTGGAGAAAGGGTCCAGAAAGCACAGGTGGGGGTGGTTCAGTGTGTGAAACCCAAACATCAAAATCCAGGGGTGTGTATTTATTTTAAAAATGAACTGAAAAATGAAAAGAGCCCTGCTTTGTTTTGAATAAAAACAAATAAAATCCCATCCACCCAACCCCCCAAAAATCATTTTCCATTTACTTTTATTTGCAGCAATGTTTTGTTCTGGAAAGAGTCTGGCCCACTGTGTACAGTTCACAAAGAGGGCACAGAGGAAGAACAGTAAAAGTGATAGATTGGAAACACTATACAGTTTAGATAGCAGTTGGACTGTGTTTGTACACCTTTTTAAACTGCCTATAAAACCGGGATTCTTTGCACCTGCAATTTGGCAGGTATTGTGGCTTGTAGCAAGTAGTCCAAGTTTGCAATGCTCCTGCCATCTGGATGGCGAACACCAAAATCAGGGCATCAGAAGCCTGTTAGGATTGCCCACTGGAGGTGTCTGCACAGGATCTAAACATGCGCACTCCAAGATGCTCAGGGTCTGATCACATTATGTAACCTGAAAAATGGAGGACACAAGTGGCACATGCAGAGCCCACTTGCATGAGTCCCTGTGCATGTACTCCCCCCAAAAAATCTATGTTAGCCTCTCTGTTCATTTGAATTTGTTTCACTTCTGTCCACTCAGCTGGTCATAAGTCGAAATAAAGACAGCAGGCAAAGCCCAGCATCCAGACAAGTATTTGGAGGTTGTCGAAGCAACTACATCTTCTGTCCTTGCTTGCAAAAACTTAGACTTACACCATCATGTACAATGGTACATGTAACTTCAGGTTACAGACGCTGCTAACCCAGAAATAGTACCTCGGGTTAAGAACTTTGCTTCAGGATGAGAAAAGAAACTGCGTAGTGGCGGCGCGGCAGCAGCGAGAGGCCCCATTAGCTAAAGTGGTACCTCAGGTTAAGAACAGTTTCAGGTTAAGAATGGACCTCCAGAACGAATTAAGCTCTTAACCAGAGGTACCACTGTACTTGTGATATGAACTGGGAAATGAGGAAACTCAAAGGATGCTATAAAAAGCATATCTGTGCCCACCTATTTTTTAATTTTACTTTTTGCTCAGCGGCTCACCTACGAGGCAGTACCACACCATCACATTCAGTTAATCAGTTCCTGGAACTGATTTGTCCTGGAAGCAAGTCCTCTCTGCAAGTGGCTTGTGGGATGAGGGATGGAGGGGCACAAACCCACCGGTTTCTTATGCCTGAGCACCATCATGCCAGGACTGTCTTCCTTCAAAACCTCCTCACTGTTCCCGATAAGTACTAGGTTTTCACCTACCCTAGGTGAAAATGAAGCTCCAGATATATAACAGCACTTGTTTCATCCCCAGACAAAATGTGCATTATAAATTCCTGGGGAATCTTCTGCTTTTGCTGGTGCAAAGCAAACAGCTGGCAGGCCACAGGCTTGATACACAGTACAGTAAACCTAGGGACGCAGGTGGTGCTGTGGTTTGAACCTTCTGATCGGAAGGTTGGTGTTTCAAATGTACATGACAGGGTGAGCTCCTGTTGCTCCATCCCAGCTTCTGCCAACCTAACAGTTCGAAAGCACACTAGTGCAAGTAGATAAATAGGTACCACTGCAGTGGGAAGGTAAACAGCATTTGTGTGCACTCTGGTTTCCATCACGGTGTTCTGTTGCACCAGAAGCGGTTTAGTCCTGCTGGCCACATGACATGGAAAGATGTCTGTGGACAAACGCCGGCTTCCTCGGCCTGAAAGTGAGATGAGTGCCACACCTCATAGCCACCTTTGACTGGAATTAACCATCCAGGGGTCCTTTAGCTTTTTACTTTACAATAAGGCTGCAAATTACACACATTTAACTTGTACACATTCAGCTTTATGTGTGTGGCAAAAAAAAAACCAAACCAAACAAAACCCTAAGGGCAGAGCTTTGAGAAAAATGACTTTGGCAATCCCACCTGCCCTTGACCCAGTGGGTTTTGATTTTGGCTTTGGTTGTGGTCCCCAGATGTAAGTTGTGTGTAAGTTGTGGGCTTACTATACACTGATGGCACTAAATCCGACGACTATCCCCAGTTCCAGGGGCCTGGACATCATGTAACTAACATAATACAACTTTTGCATCACTTGAATATTTGAACTTCGCATTTCTCCTCCTGGTTAACTGCTCATTTTGGCTCTGGCTGCCTAGTTTAAAAAGTCCTGATCCCCCCCCCCGCCCCTTGGCCACCCTCATTGGCCACCCTCAATCTAAAGCAGCAATAGGAGCAAAGAACTGAATGAAGATATGGGACCACCACTCCGTCTGGCAGCACAAAAACCAGCAGGGCATGCTGCTCCTGCTGCCGTCGTCAATGAGGCTCATTTGGCGAGGAGTAGGGGTGGGGCCCTCTGGACTGGCTGGCACCACCAGGAGCAAGGCTGGCTCTGCTCCCAGTGTACAGCCAGACACAGCACCACAGCTTGGCTCATCCCAAACCTGGAGCCGGGCCTGTGGACATCCTTAACTATTCAAAGGGGAAAGCTGCTAAAGCCAATATTCTGAAAGAATCAGTGTGGTTACAGAGTTTGGCTATCCGCTTCCTAAAGCTTTATCCTCTGAGGAAAAGCTATTCTGCGTGAAGAATGAAATTCATTTCCCCTCTGGTGCTGTCATACATTCCTCAGATCATCATCATCTGGCCATTCCAAGACCTCAGGGAGATCCTGTCACACATCCACATGCGCCAACACACAGCCAAGATGCTGCACCCACAAAGCAGGGGGCCTGACAACGTTCTCCTGACTCCCTCCAAGCCCTCGGGGAGCCAAACTTTGGCAGACTTCTCTGGTGCAACCCTGTCAAGGCCTGGCTCAATTCCAGCCCTGCTTCCCTTGGGCAAAGTCAAATATTGTGTGCAACACCCCACCATGGGGTGAATCATAGTAGCTGGCTCTTTCAATTCATGCTAACTTGGCTTTATGTCTTGAAAGTCACTAATTCAAAAGCCCACATCACCACAGATGCTTCCTGCTAGCTAGGGATAATGGGAGTTGTAGTCCAACAACAGCTGGGGACCCAACTCTGATGCAACATGGCCCCTGCACACTTAATCAATGGATGGCATGGATCCCACTTTACTTCTTAGCCCAGGCATTGCAAAGCCAGCCACTGCACACTTCAGTAGCCCTGTGAACTGGTCATCTTGGAGAATCATTTGGAGAAACACAAGCCAGCAGCTGATCACTACAAGGATAAACGTGGAAAGAGGAGAGCCCAAACTCAACCAAAGTCCAGTGGGGGACTCCATGCACACTTTGTGGAGGGCCATCAATAAATACTCTTTTGAAGACCAAAAGGTTAAACAAAGATGAAAATAAGTAAGACCTTGATCATCCCAAGAGTATGCATGCAGACACATGGGAAGATCTAGGGTGGCATAATGTACACCTTCTGGAAGTCAGTCTTGAAATTATCAAACCAGTTAGTTGCCTGTGGAGAGTAAGAATTACCTCCTGGCAGGTAAGAGTTACAGAAGCAAGTTCTTCCACCACCATTTAAGCCCACAGAAAACTAAAGTAAGGGTGTAGTAGACTCAACTAAAATAAGGCCGGGTAGAGGAAGAAAAAGAACAGTGTGGACTAGTACAATTTGTAATGCAAATCCCCCAGTAACCACCGTTATAAACTATCAAGGGTTAAACTATAGATTTCAAAGGGAGACTGCAAAGAGACAAAAAGATGGATAAGGACAGATAAAAAAATAATGTTTATATTCTCAGGAGTGCTGTACATTCCAAGACAGTGGTCTGGGGGACAGAAGTATATTTTGCCAGACAAAATGTCTGTTGCCTTGCAAAATAAACCCCTGGGTGTGCACGAGCCAGAGGTTCACTGAGGCTTGTTTCAGATAATCTAGGTGACAATTTGCCATGAGTGACTATCTTGACATAATCTGCTAAAGGCATAAAACCTTGCCTTGGTTTGGAGATGAGTAGGTTCAAAGGGTGGCTTCCCTGAAGGCAGCCCTGTTTAGCAAAGCTTTTAACGTGTGACATTTTAATGTATTTTTAAATCTTTGTTGGAAGTCACCCAGAGTGGCTGGGGAGACCCGGCCAGATGGGCGGTGTACAAATAATATATTATTATTATTATTATTATTATTATTATTATTATTGCCAGATTTGAACGGGGATCATCTCTCATTTCTAGTTTATGGGCCACCAGAAGGCAATCCTTGGGATAGACCCACCGAAGGATCAACCTGGTGCATTATATGTTGAGATTGTAGCCAACAGACCAAGCTAATCTCTGTCTAGAACAGAGATATCCTCCATTCATTTTCATTCCTTGAAGCTGGCATTTCAAACAGCCAACAACAAGGAACACCTACCAATCCATAGCAAAGGAAGGTGTCAGCAGAAGCAAGTAGTCTGCATCTGCATCTTTCCCAGAAAGAAATTCTTGACTGCAAAGAAACTGGAGGTCTGATGAGACATTTACTTACTGAGGATAATGATAACTGTCTTGATGAGATTGATCATGGTCTCCCTGTAACGCGGATGGAAGCTGGTGTGCCTGGACATGCGAGCCATCTTCCTCTTGACGTAGATGAAAATGTGAGTGTAGACTACCACCATGATGAGGAAGATGAAGAGGTTGGAGATGGCCCAAAAGGTCAAGTACCTTCGGCTGTAGAGCGGAGCCATCCTTGAGCAGTCCTTCAGGCTACACAGACAGTGCCAGCCGTATGAGGGGATGAGGCCAAGCAGCAGAGCTGTTAGCCAGATGCAGACAATGAGGATTATGACTCGCTGGTTGGACATCTTGCTATGGAGCTGCATGGTGAACACTGTCTGGTGTCGCTCCACCGCAATGGCCAGGAGGTTGACCACAGAGGCTGTCAGGCTGGTATCCAGGAGGCTCTGCCTGACAAACCAAGTCTTGAGAGAAAGCTGGGCTGTGTTGGGTCCCGTGTGGAACATCAGGAACAAATAAGCAATGCCGGCAAAGAGGTCGGCAGCAGCCAGATTCCCCAGCAGGTAATAGATCGGATAATGGAAGCGCTTGTTGATCGCAATGGCTGTAATGACCAGCAGGTTGGTGAGAAGCACAATGATGCTGACCGTCAGGCCCAGAACAACCACCAGAACATCCTTGTTCCTCCACACTCGGGACAGCTCCTTGCCACTGTTGTTGTAGAAGAACTCAATGGTCTCGTTGTAGTAACACCTGGTCATCTTTTCAAATCGTCAGTCCCTGTGGTAGAGAGAGAAACAAAAAGAAAACAAGCCTTCTGTTCAGCTTGCCTTTAACCTTGGAGAGAGGGCAGGGAGGCAAGGCCAGCTGGCATAACATTTCCTGCTCATCTGAGGCACAAATTGCTCTCCAGTTTCTCATCCCCAAGATAAGCACAAACTGAGTTCCCCCCAATCTGGCTGTCACCACAGGGCCTGGCTCATTTAAGATAAACTTGTGTATTGTATGGCTGCCAGCAGCGTTGGCCCAAGACATTTTGCCACTTGAGGCAAAACAGAAAATGGTGCCCCCTGCCTCCTCCTCCTGAGGCAACTGGAAGCGGCCTGGGGAAGCCCTGGGGTGCTGGAAGGAGGCAGAGGAGAAAAACGGCCAGAGAGGCCAGGTGGCAGCACCATCAAAGGTACTGGTGGGCACCCAGCCCCAACCTCCCCCCCCCGGGTGACATGTTGCCAATCCCTGCAGTTGCTTCATTCATTGTTTACTGCATACTTTCATCTTTCTCCAATTCCCCTTCTCACATGCTTAATTTTTTTTTAAGAAGAGAAAAAGAAAAGTACAGGAAACAACCACTTTGTGTGCATTCAAAGCATGTGTGATCATGCATGACTGCATTGCTGTGACCTCAAAGTGGCTGGGAAAGGGGGAAGAAGCAGAACAGGAGGGGGCGGGGCAGAGTGGGCAGAGTGGACTCGTGTAAGCTCCACCCACGTGCACAATGAACCGCAACACAACCCCCACGCAAATCAACCAACTGAAAGGCAAATAGTTTAATCTATTGCCCCCCCAAAAAAAACCTGGAGCCCACCAGATGTTTTGTGCTACAATTCCGATCAGACCCAGCATAGTGCTGGCTGAGGCTGATGGAAGTTGCCGTCCAAAACATCCAGCGCGCACCCAATTGGGGAGGGAAGGCTGAGTTTCCTGTTCCCCAGAACTCTTCTATCTGGTGTCCAGGACATGTGCCACAGCCACACAGGACAGGATGCAGTTGTCACAGATGGTCGCCGCCAATTCTGTTTCAAACACAAAAACCAAGATTAAACGCCAGCTAGTGAATGAGAGGTAAGTTTGGGAATCAAGCCTACATGCTCAGCCCCTCTTCTGTTTCCAAAAGATACCCTTCTAAAACCAAACCTATTTTTTAAAAATACAAATTCAAACCTTTATCCCAGCAAGTTCACAATTCAAGCTTTGACATTTACCATTTGTGCTACAATTGTGCATACAAACAAAAAAGGAACAATCCCATGTATAAGCGAAATTATACAACTCCCTGGTATTCCATCATCCCTTTTGAATCTGTTCCACATAGATATGTGAGGAGAGGTTAGCTAGTAATCTTACAACTGCCCCCCAACTATTTATTTATTTTTCAAAAAATGCTGACAAAAGAAGCAAAAGAATTCTCTTTGGAATAGCTAATGGAGTAAATTACCGTAGGTGCCTGTTTCATTAAAAAATGGGCAGAGGTTTTAAATAATACACCTCACTGGAAGTAACCTTATTATGGAAGGAATTTAGGACATTATAAAAGAGTTGGCGTCTAGTTATATTAAGGCTGCCATCCACAGCATGGATTGGGCAAAGTTCCAACTGAATTTAGATGTCAGCATGCAACAGATCAAGTGCTTTGCATGTAATGTGTTTAGCATCAGGTTCTGTCCCTGTACTCTTAGCAATGCATGAAGGAGGCTATTACATGAGATATTTAATAATGGAAATTAATCTCTTGTATTAATAGGATTAATTAGCTGTTTATGGACAAACTCCTCGTGGAACATTTGATCCCTAGGGCATGCATGTGCATGTCTATTACATTCCATTTAGTATTAGCTGAAGCAGTTACACAAAGGAATGCTATTTGGGGGGGCTACATGGAATACTAAGTGTGCCAGGAAGGGGGGGGCATAATAACTGTGCTTAGAATAAGCTGCACAACATTTGCATAACTGAAGTGTAGAAGCTGGGTGTTTGGAAGAATTGCAGATGTTTTGGCAGGGAGACATAGTGAAGGCAAAGAGCAAGGAAGAGGAGACTCCAATGTCTTCGGCACGCAGAGAAAAAACTTGAAGCCTTAGCTAACACCTCTTGTGGCTTCCTAGCCGTGTTTGAAATTAGCCAGGCACATTTCAACAAACTCAGGATTATTTCAAAAGTTGTTTGAGGAACTATGAAACACACCCCACCAATTATCCAGGAATTGTTATTCAAGCATCTCGCATCCCAGCTAGCTAGATCTTCCATCAGCCCAAACCTTCTCTCCACTTACATGGAAATGGGTGCAATTGGAGCACCAGGCCTGTTGTAAGGCTGCCCCTTTAACAGGCATGGCTTACCCCAAAGAATCCTGGGAACAGGGATGGATTGTGAAAACCATTCTGGGGTTGCTGTTCTGTGCAGAGAATAGGGCTCTCCTAAGAATGATCTGCAGTTTCCAGGAGTGTGACGGAAGCCACTATGTGGTATAAAAACACTTTCGATGTCTGGTGCAGGTGTGGTTAAGACTGCTCTCCCCACTTTGATAGGTTCTGCTCAAGTAGCAGATGGAAAGCAGGAGAAGATTCAACCGGTCACTGAAAGTGCTATTTGCTCCACTCCCTCATGGACATCTAGCTGCTAAAGGCCCATCCACTCTTTGAGAGAGGGAAACAAAAAGGAGCCTCCTATGCTAGGAGCCCAACTCCAATTTGTACTTAAACATCTAATCTGTGTTAAGGGGAATAAACGGGATAAGAGTTTTCCACTTGGGGCCTAAATCCTTTCTAATCTTTTGCTAGAAGCCACCCAGAGTGGCTGGGGAAACCCAGCCAGATGGGCAGGGTAGAAATAATAAATTATTATAATATTATTATTATCCTTGAACTTGGGGGGGGGGACAGTCCCACCCACCGAATGTGGCTTGCAGAAAATGAGAAGCCTGCAGAGGATGAGGAACGCCAGAGAGTCAGGCTTCAACCTTTGCTTCACCCACAGTTTTGCTGAAGAGGCAAAACTCTTGGGACAAGATAGAGGCCAAGCCTGGAAGATTTGCCCAGATCTGATAAGAAGAAAGCCTTCCTCAGGAATATTTCCTCCCCAAGTTGTGGGTGTGGGAGATGCTGCCGCCAACATTTTCTGTTGCCACAGCTGTTCTGCCTCAAAAATGACCAAGCAGTAATGATCTGGGTTTGTTTATCTCTCCAGGGCCAAGCAGCAATCCAAGGGCACTTTGCTGCCTAGGGGGCTTCAGCTGCAGGATTTTCTCTGGCGTTCATGGCAAGCTGCTGATTCCAGGACAGGCGCCTGCTAAAGAGCCCCCGGGAGGCAGAGAAGGCAGAAGAGAGAATGGGTGTTTCAGGGACAAGATACTGGGTGCTGGTCAGGGTTTCACCTACATCATCCCTACACAGATGTAGGAAAGCTATTATGAAATCTATTCTGTATTTTTCATTCTCTTCTTTAATTTTAAAAGAAGAAGCAGCTAATAAAACAAATGGATAAGTTCCTCTATTTGAAAAGTGTGCTTGTTTTAATTCTATTTTTGCAGAATTTTAATACTCTAACTGTATTTTATTGTAATTCCTAATTACATAAAAAGTTATATTACATAGGAAATTGGGATAAAGTTGTATGACGGGTCATATGCAAATATCTTCACACACCCACACACCCTTTATCAACCGTTAAAAAAGAACCCAGCACAGGTAATTTGCAAGGAGGACTGTAGCTAGGTAGCAGAGCACATGTGTTGTATGCAAAAGGTCCCAGAGGGAGAAGAGTAGGGATGTACAGTAATCCTGCAACCTGCACACATTTAATTTGTGCACATTCAGCTTTACACGCTTGGCAAAACTTTAACAAATACAGTGGTACCTTGGTATCTGAAGAAGTGTGCATGCACACGGGAGCTCATACCAAGAACTAACTTAGTTGGTCTTTAAGGTGCTACTGGAAGGAATTTTTTTTGTTTTGACTATGGCAGACCAACACGGCTACCTATCTGTAAGTGGTACCTCGAGTTACAGATGCTTCAGGTTACAGACTCCAATAACCCAGAAATAGTACCTCAGGTTAAGAACTTTGCTTCAGGATGAGAACACAAATTGTGCTCCGGCGGTGCAGCAGCAGTAGGAGGCCCCATTAGCTAAAGTGGTACCTCAGGTTAAGAACAGTTTCAGGTTAAGAACGGACCTACAGAACAACTTAAGTATTTAACCCGAGGTACCACTGCAGATAAAAAGGGGGCAGAAAGGAGGAAAAAACTTTGGCAATCCCACCCACCATTGCAGCCAATGAGTTTTGGCTATACATGATTTTGGCTTCAGGCGCAATGTTCGGCACACAACCCCTGCAAAGGTTGAGGGCTTCCTGTATGTTACTCATTATCAATTGCACCACAGACATTATGCAAGAAGTGTCTCGACAGGAGCACTGCAGTAACTAACCTTGATTCCAGTTTTTGCTCTGAAATCATATTGCTCAGTTCACAGGTTATAGTTCTGACTTAGTGGTGAAGTACCACAGGATTCAACTATAACCACAATGTTCATACCATTATCATAATGTACAAATACTTCTCAGAGCTTCTAAGGTAACTGTGGAGGTCTGGTCTTCCATGCCATGAATGGAAGATGGCCAAGTATACATTATTCTGTTCTGTATTTACATATTCTGTTGAACCCATCCTCATGAGGTTCCTCAGCCCCCATACATCTTAAAGGTAAAGGGACCCCTGACCATTAGGTCCAGCCGTGGACGACTCTGGGGTTGCGGCGCTCATCTCGCTTTATTGGCCAAGGGAGCCGGCGTACAGCTTCCGGGTCATGTGGCCAGCATGACTAAGCCGCTTCTGGCGAACCAGAGCAGCGCATGGAAACGCCGTTTACCTTCCCGGCGGAGCGGTACCTATTTATCTACTTGCACTTTGACGTGCTTTCGAACTGCTAGGTGGGCAGGAGCTGGGACCGAGCAACGGGAGCTCACCCTGTCGTGGGGATTCGAACCGCTGACCTGATCAACAAGTCCTAGGCCCTGTGGTTTAACCCACAGCGCCACCTGTATCTTAAGTCTCAGGAAATAGTGTAAAAAGGAGACTTTTGAATGCTGCTTGAGCACAAAACCATTTCTCTGATCCTGTACATGGATTCCAAACCGTGCTGAACAGTTGATTCCTTTTATCAGAAATACCGCATATCATTTAGACTGATCAACAAAGCAGAAACATGAAAATGTGGGTGCAAGGCCTGCCCCCCCCATTTGTAAATCAGTTTGGACCCAACTGGCTCAAAGCCAAGGATGCTGACTAAACCTATTTATGGATTGCTGTGATTCACCCCGTGTTTTGAGTTCCAGCATAGTGAGTCGTAACTCAGCTAAGCAGCCCTAACTATAAACACCCCCAAAAAAGAAAGGAAAGGAAAAAAGATCATTTTGTGTTATGAGGATTTTATCTGGGCTTGACCATTCACAGATTGGCCATGGGCATTTACGTTAAAAAGAGACGAAAGAGAGGGGCCTCTAATTCTTGGGCTTTAAAGAAATCTATTCAATGTGATTAAAAAAACAACAATAATTAAGCACATCTCAAGCCTTAACAGCTAGCAATACAAAACTCCTCATTCCAGTCTCTTAGAGTCAGTACTAATTTGTGGCATTTTAAATGCATCTGCAACTGCCCTAACTGGCAATGCAACGTCCATCATTCCGTCCAGGGTTAGCAGAATCGGAGAGAGCAAGCAAGGCCGCTGCTGGGGGTGTAGAATTCCAGCTGGATAAGTGTCTTAGACCCACATTTTAGTCTCTAGCTAGGCTTATGGATGAACTGGATATTCTGTATACGGAGCGTAGCAGTTAGGTCCAGATTAACTAATGTGGAGCAGAACTGGAATCTCAGTGAACTTTTTATAGTCTAACCTGCTATTATTTTGCTGCTGAGCATTCCATAATAATCCGGGAAGGGAGCCCAGTTCCAGTTTGCCTGGTCCCAATCCATGGCCTTGTCACAGAGAAGCCTTGGCCCTCAACCGCTGGGGTTTCCAAGGTCAGGGAATCAAATCCAGAATAGTCATCTGAGGGCACCCCTTTCTTTTTTTCTGATGCCACATGTGAAGGGGCCATCCTTGGTGACACCCTTGGGGGGAGGCACACACTCCCACATGCCAGTTGCCCACAGACACACACTTCAGCCCTCAAGGGGTGCACAACACCAGCCCCCCCCCCGCACTGCACACCCGTGGCAAGATGAGGGCCATGCTAATAATCTTCAACCACTTTTATCAAATGTACTGTAAGTGTTGGAAGAACTTCTCTCTCTCTCTCCCTCTCCCTCTCTCTCTCTCTCTCCACACACACACACACACACAGAGAGAGAGAGAGAGCTACCTTCACATCAACCCTGTAAAATAGGTCAGTATCTCATCCTTACTTTTACTGTAAGATGCTGAAAGGCACCCACAAGATAAGGCTTTAATTTTTTAAAAAACAACAGCTACTCTGAAGTAGCCTGCAGTTAATTCCTGAGGGCTGGTCTGTGTATGAACTACAAATTCTGGCAGACTGTGTATGAACTACAAATTCAGTGATAACTAAATGCCTTCTGCGCATGCGTAGAAGCATAAAGGTAAAGGTAAAGGACCCCTGACAGTTAAGTCCAGTCACAGACGACTCTGGGGTTGCGGTGCTCATCTCGTTTTACAGGCCAAGGGAGCCAGTGTTTGTCCGCTCCACAGACAGTTTTTCTGGGTTTTGTGGCCAGCATGACTAAGCCGCTTCTGGCGTAATGGAACATCGAAATCAGAGCAGCGCTCGGAAATGCCATTTACCTTCCTGCTGGAGCAGTACCTATTTATCTACTTGTACTTTTTTGGGGGGTGCTTTCAAACTGCTAGGTTGGCAGGAGCTGGGACTGAGCAATGGGAGCTCACCCCATTGTAAGGATTCGAACCGCTGACCTTCTGATCGGCAAGCCCTAGGCTCAGTGGTTTTGACCACAACACCACCCACGTCCCTTAATGCCTAGAAGCATACTTACCATATTCTAGGGCTGACATCTAGCAAGATCCTCAGAGGGACATATAACAATGATATGAGGCTGACATCACAAGAATGCCAGTTCCACCAATAACAAAGTTGGTAAATAAATCCCAAAGCTATTCTGAGAAAAGCAGCGAGAAGGGATCGGCCCAGAATATGAGGGCTATCCCTGGGAACAGTTTAAACTCACACCAGGTCTGAGAACCCTTAAAATGAGTTTTGCAGCTCTTGTTGGCTAGGCAGATAACATCCTTGCAGCAAACAACATCTGGGGCCAAATGGGATGAATAACTGAGTCTTTGTCCCTGGAGGATCAGTTAATCCCCTACCAGATAGAAATGACCTCTCCTCCAAATATCCCCAAGGCAACAAGGGCAAGAAAGAGGCTTTTCTTATGGACAGTTGTGTCTACAGGCTGCCTGCCCCCTCCGGCCCTAGGACGAGAGCAGGAGCATGGAAGCCTCCATCCGACAAGAGAACAGCCAAATAAAAACCTTCACTCTTGGGCCCCATCTGTACTAAACCTTTAAAGCAGCATCATACCACTTTAAACAGCCATGGCTTCTCCCCAAGATTCCCAAGTTTGCTGACAACTCTCAGCAGCCTTAACCAACAAGAGTCCCTGGAAAAGCCAGGACTCTTTTAAAGTGGCATGAAACTGCTTCAAAAACTGCTTGTACAGTTAACTGTACTGAATGGGAGCGTAATGGCAGAGCACTGCAGAACATGAGGAGCATCACCTGCTGAAACCCTCTCCAAGATGTGGGACTCTGTTCTTACAGTCACCACGCCAACTACTCCAACAGCCACTCCCAAGGCACAGGGTGCAGACCTTAGCACACAGAGAGGGAACCTGCGGCCACCAGACATGATCAGACTCTGCTCCCATGAGCCTTGCCAGCCTTCTCAGTGGTCAGGGATGGAGCAGGCTGAAATCGGGCAACACCCGGCCTGCCACAAGGGTTAATTCTAGAGTTTATAGAGTGGAGATTGCCCCTGCCCTCAAGCTCACAATAGAAGAAGACATGGCATCCGGGGGAAAGGAGCAGGAGGGATGCTCACCTCCAAAATGTGAAAAGCTTCCTCTCCTGTTTTCCCTGCCAGGATCAGGAGCCTCTTCCAACCAGATCAGGAACTAATTGAACCAGGAGCACAGTTGGGGCTGCCAAAGTTTTGGGCAGGATTGGCTCCACATATTGAACAGGCAAAAGGCTCTTTAACTCCTTCCCTCCCATGGGAACAGCAGCAAGGAGCCGGGTGGTGCTATGTTGATAGAAACTCTTCTGCATGGTCACAAGTGAGGGGAAGAGAAGGAGTTAAAGCGCCCTTTCTGACAGAGTGAGGGTCCCAGTAAAGGGAGGCTTCTTCTAAAGGACTTTGTTTCTTCAATTGTGTTATTAAATTACTACCCCGCCTTTTCTCCAAAAGGAGCCCAGGTCTGCGAACACCAACAGAAAGCAACAATATAATTAAAACTA